GTCCCGCTCCGCGCCCGCGCCTTCCGCGGGAGGGTGGGGGGTCTGAGAAGCATCAGTCTGCGCCGCTCCCTTCCGGGGGCCTCTCTCGGGAGCTGCTGGGGGCTCAGCTCCGTGCTGAGGTTGCGGTCAAGCGTGCGGGGCTCAGCCCGGCCGGTGCCCGCAGAACATGCCCTTTAAAAGGCGCCCTCGGAGATGTTCGCACCCTCCCGGGCACCAGAAGCAGCGCTGCCCCGGGCATCCCCGCTGCTTGAGTAGATGGTGTGTGCAGAAGTGTGCTCCGGCACGGCTCGTGGCCGTCAGCGCAGTCCCAGCCTTCTCAGCTCTTCTTATGGGAAAGCTTCTTTATCTCTGAAGCTTGGCTGGGTAGATACATTTTTTTAAAAGCAGAGACATGGACAGGCAAAATCGAAAATATTAAAAAATCCTAGATAACGAATCAAACATATTAAAAATTCCTACACCACCAGTGAAGGGAAGTTGCCTGCATGGAGTGATGTGAAGTTTCTGCACGGCTGCATGCTTTGAATTGGTGATACAATTAATACATTAAATCAGATGGCAGGAAGGTACGTTTCACATCTAGGTTAGAGGAACATAAAGTGTACGAAAACCAAAGGAAAATGGTGTAGCAAAACAAGATAGTGGCTCATTTTCAAAAGGTGTGACTTGAGTTGGTTTATTTTACATGACTTTTTTACAAGACTGAGGTCTTACATGCCTCAGATATATAAGTAGTACTAATAGCTGTCATTACTGGAAAATTACAAAGGCAACAGCCTATCCTAGTTTTAGTATGTAATTTTTGCACATCATTGCATGATTTACTATAGTGATGGGAGCCTGTTGTCTGCCACAGAATGTAAGAGCAGCTAGAAGAAATGTCTGATGCTAAACTAGTGCTAAGTGGCCAGATTGGCCTTGATAAAATAAGATACATCATAAGAAACAGCAGTTCATGAAAAATTGAAGTAATTGTAAATCACTTTATACAGAGCAATTGCTGTGATACATTTTAGGAGATCAAATGTGAACCTTTTCTAACTTGCAACCAGCAGGTTAATTTAAACTTGAGAGAATGAAGTAATGTAGAGATACAGGACTGCTCTTCATATTTAGTTTGAAATTCTTACGGGTGTACTTATTTTCTTTAGAGAAGGTCTAAGAACTGTTTCATACTACATTTCAATGCACATTTTAAGTCTTAATTGGAAGGTAAGTACTTCACAGGACCTGTTTGCACTTTGTGTGGGTGCAGGCTGGTCATTCCATCCATCATTTATATAAAATACAGTTCTTAGGAAAATCTTCATGGTTTCACAGAAACCAGAATGTAAGCTGAATGTTGTGTGTCCTCGGGTAGCTATACTTACGGTTTCCTTCTCCAACAGATTGGGAAACAGAATGCCATTTGATGGAGCCGGTGAACCTGACCATGCCCACGGGTCATTAAAGTCTGAATCAGACATTTTGCAGAACACACTACCTGAAAATGAGAAATTCTATTTTGATCTGTCCAGAATTATTGATAGGTGAGTTTCTTTATTTTCATAAGTACAGCTGATGATACACTACTTGAATTATGCCAAAAGATCAGTCACGTTTTCAAACTGAGAAATGGGGAAGGAAGCATCAATTAGAGGAAAAACCCGAATCGCCTCTGGTTAATACCAGTAGCAGTAGGAACATGTACAGAAATGTTGATTGCATTGCCATTCTGGTGTCATGAACTTACTGACTTCTCAGGAAGGACTAAAAAGCATATTGTGGAAATCTGGAAGTTGCTTTATAAAATAATCTTAATTGAATATGTACAATACATAACATAAGGAAAGCAGTATGTTTAAAAAATGAACGTTATCAAAATTACATGAACGCAGGTTGTATTGTAGAGTTTATTTATTGTCCATTTCAGAAATGCAAGGCAAGCTGATGGAGTTTTCACCAGTGTCTACAGCCATCTTTTGGCTAAACTTGCTGTGAAGAGATATCTGCATTCGCTTATTAGAAAACGAGTTAGGTGAGGTGATACTTACATTAGGTAGAGTTTTTTCCTAGCTGGCTTCATTGGCAATTTCTTACCCTTCTATACCTAAGTTCTGATTTTTGTGATTTAGACATAATGAAAGAGAAGCTGATAAAGTAATGGGAGAGGTGAAAATCCTGATAACACCTTAGTGGTATTTGTTACTAAATTAACATGTTAATATTTACTCCTTATACAGCTGTGAGGCACAGAGCAACAGACAAGAGTTTTGCATTATATAGATACTCAAAAAAGAATGAGGCAAATGGATAGACAAGAGTTCTGGGTGCAACTTCCAGACAAAGATGTTCATAAACTCATGGTCACGAGATTCTGGGACAGATCACTGTATACTGTCCTTGTTTTCAGATCCTTAAGCAGCAGCTCCTGGGCACTCTTAGTAACAGAATAGTAGAATACTTTGATCTGACCTCATATGACAGTTCCTATGAATGCTCAAAAGCTGAGTGAAAATTAGGTCCTGCATTTATGTCAATGCTGCCTTTGTTCCAGAACACAGAGTGCCAGTTCTTTTACACTATAAACTAACATAGATCGCTGAAAGCAGAACACACTGAGACTAGCCATGATTGTGTATGAAAAATAAGTCTCCTAATTTGGATTTCACAAGGTGTGTTTTGTCTCCTGATGCCTCCTTAAAACAAGCATTTGTAGCTGTGTACATGATGCTACACTCTTACTTTCCTCAGAGGCAGTCTCTGTCCTCACTGAGTTCAGTATGAATGGTGAGACAGCCACTTAAGAGCTTACTGTGTGACATAAACTGCTCTGCATCTAGGCATTGTACTATAATATATTTATGCAGATGACAGAAATCACAATAAAGGCAGTTTATTAAAAAGAGTAACCTGGGCTATGAGAACAGACAGAAGGGAGGCATGAAATCCACAGTCAGCCATTTGATCCTGCAGAATTCCTGGATTTGGCACGCTAGAAGTAATTGAGTATGGATCCTAACTGCATGGGCCATGGCGAGTTGAGCAGGAGAAGAAAAATCAGTGGAAGGTGTGCTCAAAAAGGCTGAATACCAATCCTTAGAATTTGATCCTTATTATTAAAATACATAGTAAGCAGGATAAGTGATGGCTTCTTTCAACAGAAGGCAATTCATAGCTGCAAACAAAAGCTGAAATGAAAATTTTATTTTATTGTAAACTTTGTGTCACTCATTTAATGGTATCTTCTTTTTAAAGTGATATCATATATTAATTATTTATGTTTTGATTATGTTGCCAGCTCCCAGGACAGTCCTGTAAAACGCCACTCTGATGCTGTCTTCACTGACAACTACAGCCGCTTTCGAAAGCAAATGGCTGTGAAGAAATACTTAAACTCAGTTTTAACTGGAAAAAGAAGGTACTACAAGAAAACAAATATGTATGTTTTCCATACCTGTATAGTACTAAGACAGAAAAGACAGGACAAACAAAAGGCAGTGAACATTAATTAGTTTATAGCGTAGTTTATAACATGATTTTCAAATACAGACAATATTTTCTTCCAGACTGGAACAGACAGTACAATCAGATTAGAATAAAAGAATAAAGAAGAGACAGCATCTGGCAATTTAAAAAGCTTCTCACAGATTCTTAAAACAATTTTATTTATTAAAAAAGCCTCTTAAAGAAAATCCACAGAGCTATGAAACATGAAGTACAATTTCATAAAGAAAACACACTGTTTGCTGAAAAATTGCCTTTAAGTAAGCACACAAAATGAAAATTTAGAAGTTCTGGAAAGACCTAAACAGTATAGGTGAGAAGTGCCAGGTTTTGTTTTTGTATACCTTACATTCCATTTGTATATTCACTCATTTGGACAGCTGCTTTTAAAATATCATGTATCTTCACCTGTTAAACATACCGTTCCATGTGTTTTTTAACACTGATGTGACAAAAAGTGCAATGGATACAGTTAGAAGAAGGTTTTACTTGCTTATTTGCTTTTTCTTCTGAGGCAAATAAATCTTGTTTCTGATTCACAACAGCCAGGAAGAGCTAAACCCTGCTAAACTTCGAGATGAAGCAGAACTCCTTGAACCTTCCTTTTCAGAAAACTATGATTCTGTAGATGAGCTGCTGAGCCACCTCCCACTGGTATGCACAGATTTTCTTTCCTCTTGCAGTGTGTTAGTTGACTTGACCCCTAAAATGAGATTAAGCATTCTAGAAGTGTGGCCTATCAGGATAGCAGAATCATAAGGGAAAGAAATTCCATGAAATTATGCGTGTTTCTATAGGGATTGTGTCTGAGTATAATAATAATATTAATAACAATAATCAAGTTATCCCATGATTGCTGTTATTGTAAATTCCTAATTAAATGGCACTCGTAATAATGCACTTAGCTCGCTTGAGTTTTTCAACTTGTGTGCACTGCAGCATAAACCCAGAATTGACTGATTTTTAATTATGAAGTTTATTATTTCTCCAAAGGACAACCTCAAAGATTTTTCTTTTAATTTAAAATAAAAACAAAAACCAGCAGATTTCGTTTAACAGCTATTTCATTGAAAGGGAGCTATTCCTAGAACTGGGAATATCAGCAGCATGAACCCTAAGCATTAAGCAAGCCCTTGACTCACACCTAAGGTGTGCTGCAGGGGGAATCATCTGACACGCAAATATTGCAGTTACTGTTTTCCATTTAGCTATTACTATTTTTCTAAAATAATTCAGAAATTTGTTTATTTGGTTTACTAAAAGGTAAACCTTTCTACATCACACCATTTGGAGGGGCATAAAATTTAAAGGGTAACATCGATGTGAATCGGGCTTGGTATTCTCAAATGTGATTATGAAACTGATGAGAGGATGGCTTTTGGCATTCAACTGGGTCTGAAGTACAAGGAAAGAAAAAGACTACTCTTGAAATAACAATTTGGGAGGGTGGGTGTTGAGGGAGAGAAAAGAGATTTCTCCAAACTGCTATTGCCTTCAAAGGCTGAAAGAAAATATTCTTCTCCTTTCCACAAATGGGCCAGTTCCTTTAAAATTAAACATAAATGGCTTATGCATCAAGGAACAAAACCATTTCCAAGTGATAGGAATGTTTCTTCCTCATGTGACAATCTTGTCTGCTGGCTGCAGTGCCCACCAAGCTCCTGCAAATAGCTCCATGTCATGCTTGTCAGCCCCAAGTGCAGCAATTCTTTTATATCAAAAGTTATTTCTTATCTGCTGTCTTCTTTTATGCACCTCATGGTGCAGCTGCTTATGGAAATAGCTTTTAAAATGTAGTTCTCTTTTGCTTTTCAGGACCTCTGAAGGACACCTGGTAGAGCCTATGAGAAGAACAAGTTATTTTTGAGTTCCACATAGTATTTCAAAGAGATGACTTTAGTCATCAAACCAGAACAAATATGTTGTGAAGTGAAAGTTGTGATATATTTGTTTCTTATGTAATAAAAGTTGATATTTACATTGTAAATATTACTCTAGAGTTCTCTACTGAAAGCTGTACATATGGATGCCAGTTTAACTCATGACAAGTCTGTGAGTCCATATGCTGTAAATCCTTTACTTCAATAAATTCATTTGAAAATGAATATGCAGCTGAATAGAACCCATCATTACTAATCAATTGGCTTATTTTAGGTGTGGTACAGTTTCAGAAAGGCCTGTATGATAATAAGGTAACATTTTGAGATAGCTTCATAAACAAGTGTAAAAATATGAGGAAAATAATGTGCAGAGCATGTGAAACTGCATTATAAACATCTCTGAAGGTTATTGCCAAGCAAAAGGAAGTGCTTTTCTACCAGCCTACCAAGCAACTAGACAAAAAGGAAAAGCATTAAATATTGTTTGACCTCTGAAAGCATCTTTCCCTCTTGTTCACATCTTAATATTTCACAATATATAAATCATATTAAGACCAGAAATGTATCCTTTGTTTTCCATCGTGGTTTGGATACTTTGGAACTGACAAAGCACGCAAAGAGGAATGTTATCCCTTCATTCGTTTGATGCCTAAAGTCACCTGGTATTTTACATTTGATTGTCTGTAGATTTGATGATTAAACTATTCCTTATATATAAAATAGATCTGAAGATACTTTACTATTTTTTCAGAATTAATGTAATTTACAGAATATGCAGACAATAAATCATTTTATTATCATGGCAAACTACTATTGGTTTGAATCAGTGCTACAGGTACCTGCAACAGTAGAGGTCCCGGTAAGTGTTGTCTCTACTATAGTAAATAGAGAAAGGCACTATTTTTTTAACTTAGGTGTACTGTGTTATATTAAAAAGACAAGCAAGTAAGCCTCCAGTTCCTATTTCTTTAGCTTTGTATCATTGGAGCTTAGTCTGGAACTGGAAATTTGCAGCTGATTTACCATTGCTGTGAATCAGAATCTGGTTTTAGTTTATTAAAGTTGTAAATTCAACCAATTGTATCACTTTCTAAAGAATTACTTAGTGTTGTAAGAACTGATTGTTGTAAGCCCCATTGCACTAAGCAGTGTGTGGTACTGCAAGCACAACATGTGAAATGCATATTCGTGCATGATCGAAGCTGTAACACTCCTATGACTCTCATCTTCTAGAAGGAGATGAAATTTGGAGTAGAAAAACTTATCAGACCTACTTACAAGTTCATTTTGGAATTTCAAGTATATTTATGTATCATACATATGCACACATAGGCAGTTTTAAAACTGATTTACAAGTTTCACTTACAAGTTTACTGTTCTCATTTAGAAAGAGGTTTTAAACATGATAAAATTTGAGATTCATGGAGACCAGTTCTCATAAATATGTAGACTTCTGATTTGCCGTTTTTTTCAATATTGGCAACTGCATATCAGAAGAAAAACAGCTTGCACAGATCAGAATATTACTGCTATTTCTACCTAGTCTTGATAAAATGTATTTTAGCCTAAGCCAATTAATGGTTCACAGAAGTTAGATATAATTCTGGAGTCTCTTAAAAAATGGTCTTCTAATGGAGGTCCACTCTTAATTCATATACTTTTAGCAAAATTCGAGTGCAAAAGTAGCTTTGGGAATACTTGAAAGATACAAATAAACTAATGCTGGAGTATCTAATCAGAAATTTTCGTCAGTGTAGTTTGAATTTTCAGTGATAAGGAGTCTTTAAAGTGAAAGAAATTAACTAGAGGCAAAGCTGCATAAAATCTTCGTACTCACAACTTATTGTTTAAATATGCATAATGTTCATCATGAAATTTAAAGTAACAAAAATTGGAGTAATCAGACTTTTGACTCCACAATTCTATATTTTTTTTCCTAAATTTGCTTTCTTCAATTTATTTCCAGCTTAGTAATAAGGCACCTGATCAAATTTCATTAGGAAATCTTACGCATATATATATATAGATGGATGGATGGATGCATACACGAGCATGTAAAATAAATTACAAAATTAACACTGTCATTGTAATAAATAAAATAATACTTTGATCGCTTCCTCAGAGGGTTAGCAAATAGAAACAGTCTAAAAGGCATGCCAAATTTTATGTACGTTTTTGCAAAGCCTAGCACTGAAAGGAGAGATGCTAACCTCCAGGATAATAAACCTGACTTGATATTTTTGTCAAAGGATGGCTTTTAACTTATCATAGCTGCTTTTGACATTCTATAGGACATATAAGGTCCAATTCATCCACAGAATCTAGTTAATTGTGTAAGATGTAACAACATTCACCCAATTTCCACAGGCGAGTGGCTGTGGTAAGGTTAAATAGTAATATTGAAGAGAAGATTGTACCGTTTCATAGCATGAAACAAATTTTCAGTCTGTCAATGAATATTGACCCATGCTACCAATCTTAGAACGCATCTGCAGAATGTCGTAACAGTGGAATGAAAGTGTCATGTTAATTAGGAGGATGAAAGGGGTGTCTTCAAGGAGGGTATCTAGAGAATTGCTAGGAAAAAGAAAAATAGCCAGGAGATTTAGAAGAGCATCAGTGGTGAAGAGAGTGCAACCGCTCAGGAGGAAGGAATAAAACTATGAAGAGTTGTTGGGGTATATGTTAAAGAAACATCTCACCATGTTTCTCCAGAATTTCACTTCTAACACAGGATAGGAATAACTGCAATCATAGAGGATAGAACTCATTATTTTTTGTTGTACTAATGGGGATTTCTTTTTAGATCTATCCCATGGAGTTCTTAAAGAAAGGGAGAGAATCCCCTTGAAGTGCAACTTTACCAGCACTGGAAGGGGATATTTTTGGGTCCAGAATCCACAGAGAGGATTTAAAGCCATGTGTGCATCTGTACAATCATCACCCACTCAAGAGCAACCCTCAGGATTATGTATAAAACCATGAGAATTCCAAAAAATAACAAAATATTTTAAAATTACAGCCAGTAAAAGCACATTAAAAATTAATACAACCCAAACGTCTCCTCTGGTATTTTAAATGGATTTGAGGGGCTATGAGTATTTGTTCTGCCTGAAAGTCTTGAGACAAAATTTCTGTTTAAAAATATGAAAATAGGCAACTTGGATTCAAAGCCTAGGTATAGCTTAATGTATAGGAAAATTAAATCCTCTCCAAATAAAGACATTTTGGGAAGAGTTCATAGAATCATCAAGTCAGAAAAGACCTTTAAGATCATCCAGTGCAACCGTTAATCCAGCACTGCCAAGTCCACCACTAAACCATGTCTCTAAGAGCCACATCTACATGTCCAAGGATGTCCAAGGATGGTGACTCAACCACTTCCCTGGACAGCCTGTTCCAGTGCCTGACAATCCTCTTGAAGAAATTTTTCCAATTATGCATGTATACGTGAACAATTTATTTGCTTGCAAGGCATTAAAGATAGGTACATGGAAAAAACTGTTCTCTGCCTCTTGTTATGTGACCTATGCCTTCCACTCTCCCTCTCCTCCACTAACCACATGCTTTCCCAATCTTTGTTAATATCTCACCTTGAGTTTGAAAAGGCAGTATATGAATGTATATCTATGTTTTGGAGAGGAACATTGACAGCAGACCTTTAATGGATGATGCAGCAGTCTAATAATTGTCAGCCTTGGTTATGGAGATGAGTACTGGAGAGTACTGGCACAACCAGATTTGCAGGAGCAACCTGTCCTGCTTATAAACAGTCCCTGACTTCCCACTGGAGATTTCCCATTTGGTTTGTGACTGGTACAGAAGGCTGACCTTTCCTCAGATACATCAAACAGAGTATGTGGCCTCCTGGGGCTTGTGCTGGCTCAGGCAACTACAATATTTTCAGCTTTTCTCCATTCTGCTTTGGAACAGTCAGAGACAAATTGCTTGCCAGGTTGACAAGCTGGTTTAGATATGGAGGTAGGTAATTAGACACCAGTCTTTTTTTCAAACTTTTTAAAAGTCCAAATAACAATTTTATGCATTTTCTGGTTCTGAAGTAAGCAAACAAGGGAGGCTTTACTTCTGTTTTATACGCAGACACATGCAGTTCACTTAGTAAGGAGGGGAAAAAGTAGTTTTCCCTTTCAATAACTTAATTAATAATTAATGATGCCATGAAAAAAACCCTAACGTTTTGGAAATATCACTGTGCGGTGAGAATACCTTCACTAGAACATGTTTATTGGAAAGATTGTGGAATGTTTCAATAGTGAGGGTAAAAAATAGGAGAACAAAGAACTTGCCCTTCTGATCTGAGTGAATTATTTAAAGCTAGATAGAGTTTTGCATATGATAATACATTTGAAAAATATATGTGAGTTTTGTGCATATTTAGGTCCTAGATAATAAATATTATGAAGAATGCTTGAAGGAGCTGGGATGTTTAGTTTGAGGAAGAGGAGGCTGAGGGGGGACCTCATCAGTCTCTACAACTACCTGAAAGGTCATTGTAGAGAGGTTGGTGCTGGTCTCTTGTCACAGGTAATTAGAGACAGAACAAGAGGGAATGGCTTCAAGCTGCGACAGGGGAGGTTTAGACTAAACATTAGGAAAAAAAAAATCACAGAAAGAGTGGTTAGACACTGGAATAGCCTGCCCAGGGAGGTGGTTGAGTCACCATCCCTGGGTGTGTTTTAGGGGCATTTGGATGTGTCACGATCCGTGACCTATTATATCTCCTTATTGGAGTGTATTAACTTATCAGGATTTGCTGAGAGCTTCACACGTGGATATCGCCTCACACAGAGGATACAGGAACTTATGTCCTGACTTTTTTGAGTGAATAACTCGCTCAGTGCTTACTTATATTTCTAACAACGGCAAGGTTTATTGTGGGGAAAACAAAGCAATTTGGGGCAGGAGGTTCAAAAGGAGTGATTACAACACATTAAACATATATGGGTACACCTTAGTTACACATCTTATTCACGTGAGGGAAGCAGAGGGGAGGGGTATGCCCGAATGGCTGGATTATATTTTCCCCTATAAGCTGAGGTAGCCGGAATTGTCTCACCACGGCAGTGCAGGTAGGATGAGCTGGGTAGCAAAGAGGCT